CAATTTTCAAAATAAACTAAAAAATATCATACGAATTGGTGCGTAAATAATATCTCGACCGCTTGAAGAATTATTTAAACGCGTTTGAATGTTTATAATATTATAAAAATTACACAATTTTACTTGAGGGAATGTCTAGAATTATTTTTTGCGAAAAACGTTTTGTAATTAATACGCAAATAATTTGAACGTTTGAAAATTCAATTGCCTCAAACAGTGACGATGACCGAGGGAAACAATTTTCAGATTCGTATTCAACTCGAGAACTCTACAAGAATCATCTACCGAATACTGGAAAACATAAGCAATATCAAAATTTGTTGGACAGTGATGCTTGTTTCTACTTTGACCGCTAGTGTGCGAAAGTTCTAAGTTCTTTCACTATTTAGCTGAGGATGCATTTGCTAAATGAACTGTACGATCTATTTTCAATACAATTTTACATATATCGATCAACTATTTTCATATATCTCCGTACGAACCATTTGAGTACTCATTTTAATATGAAAAAATTCCTAATCGCGTAATTAAGCCAGTCTAATTCATCAAAAGTACTCAAATGGCAAGGTGCCCCGAAAAATATTGTGCAGCACTAAACTTTAATTTATCAAGTCATAAATGCAACAAAAAAATACATTTTATCATTTAATTATAATATATTTCTTTACTGTAGACACAAAGCAAGAAAGAACCAAATACACATGTGCTTGCAATATTGTCCAAGACATCTTAATGACGGATTCTCGCATGAAAGAATGTTACGAGTATTGTGAAACTTCTAACTTTATGTCCAAATTTGATCACTGACATTAAGATTACTTTCTTCCAAATAACTGTACACTTGATTGCAGAACCAAGTGGATATGCTATGCGGACAAAAATATTCGAGGAAACGTCCAAAATATTAAACTGTCTACCCCCATGCACGAATCCAGCCTAATCCATTGTCTCGAGTGTATTTAAAAATTGTCCCTCGAGTTCGGAAACGATGTTTCGTGTCGTGTGAATGATCGTACGCTAGAGGTAGCAGACTAAAGTGGCAAATCGTGCAATATTCGGTGGAAAGTGTGCCCTTGCTCGAACTAAAGGAATCCTCGAGAATTCGGAGACGCTTTCTAGGGCAGTTAAGGTAAACGTACCAATAAGTAACCATATGAGGCTACAGGGACAGCATATTTATACTATAAATATAAATACGCTTCTATACAAATATAAATATTTATATTAAATATTAGATATCAGATATTAAATATTATATATCAAATATTAAATATTAGATATCAAATATTAAATATTAAATATTTATATAACCCTAACTAGTTAGTTATTGATACATTTATTTTAGAGCTAAACGATATCTAATAACCTAGGAATACTATTGCTCTACAACACAATTCCGAGCTCCTTCGCTTTTGGTTTTCATCAAAACTTACGCAGTCATGGACTTTAAATATTCTTTCGACAGTCAAATTGACGGCCAAAGACGCACGCCAATCTTCGCGATCTTACGATCTCCTTGATATATCCCACGAATCCCATCGATCGTACAAAGATCATGCATAGAAGGAATTAGTTGTGAGTTAGACGGACGTTTCTTTTCCTTCTAATGTCACGCTCCTGTGTGTAGGATGGCTGTACGGTGAAAGATCCAAGCACTTGTGACTGTAATATATTCCTGTGAGTTTCAATGCAGGATGGATGGTTCGAATAATTGATGACAAAATGATCGTCCCTCCCGAATGGACACTATATTCGTTAAACGATGGAAATTGATATTTAAATTAGGTGAATTGTTGTGTACAGTGAACCTACATGCTTATGCAAACATACTGGTCGAACATTACTGTTATCGTTATAACGTTGCTGCTTGAAACAATTTATTCCTCTGTTATAAAAACACCGAATGTAACGCGGATTTTATAAAATTAAATACTACTACTGGCGTTGCCGTTTTATCGGAGCATATAATTTTATTTGAATATAAATTCTATTTAAATATAAATATATAAATATTTTATTTAAATATAAATCAATAAAATGGTCGATACGATTTTGTTAACATTTTTCGGATTTCAGTGATTCATTGTTTGCCTTTTCTTCCATATGCCAAATAGTTTCATTATTTTCTTTTTTTACTTCGTTGTACTTTCATTTTATTGCTATATATTTATTACTACATTGCTGTACTTTCATTTTTTGCTATTTCACTTTATTGTGACTGCCATGTTACTACTGTATTATTTAGACTATGATAAACTCAAAGAAAATAATTAAACATTCGGTGCAAATAATTTACAGTTATAGTATAACGTATTTTCGTAATTAACTAACGGTATTACAATTGCAGAGGAACAAATTGTTTTCAATTACAATGAACATTTTGAAAATTTGTATATTCTACCTGATCAAGTGTTCTGAAATTTATAAGGCAAACCCAAAGCGTGCACATTGCTTATGCAAAACTAAAAAAGTTGCATAAGACTTACAAAATTAGTTGAATACTTATCAATAATTACAATAATGCAGTCGATTTCAAAGAAACTATACAGACAAATTTCAACAATTTTGAATCATAAAATGAGGATTTGTATTTTGATTGTAGCAAAGAACGTTAAACGATTCGATTTGCCTTACTATTTTGGAAATCCTACAATGTTCTGTTTGTTGTATATCTACAGGGGATGATCGGTATTAATTTGAGGTGGCTGATTGGACCACTGTAATAACTGTATTTTCTTCTTCACTGGTCGGCATAGTTAATCAGCACAATCACCGTTAACTCTTTTCCATGGGAACAATGTTAAAATCAATATCTGGAATTTGTATGATTCGTAATCCCGCAGTGAAAATGACCGCTGTAATAGAAACATAACTAAATTTCAAATAAATATTCCTAAAAGTTGTTATGTGACCTGTTGTGTACCATAAATGAGAATAAACTTAATTACTATGTTTCTGTTGTACTTCAACTGAATATGGTATTTCACTGTATTTCCGTGTAATTATATCGAAATGTGTTTCGTGAATAGTTTATCCATCTAAGTTACCCTGCAAAATTGGAGAACTTGTAAATCAAAAAGTTACGTTTGCTCCAGTTAAATTTGAATATATGAAGTATGCAGTCTAGTGATAAATCTAATCATGTAATAGTGACAAAGTCAGGTCAAACATGATGTAAAATTTGAGAGGCTAATAATGTTCCTGATGTTCATATAAGATGCTGCAGAATAATACTACTACAAAGGTCGAACTAAATGAATGGCATGGAGTAAAAACATTTTCTTCCCATGTTGAAAATTCGTATGTCTATCGTGGACATTTGGATCTTTTACCGCGTATATTAAAGCTAATCTATTTCTATTCTATTCAAAGGGGAATCGAAGAACTCATTACATTAATAAATGTAGTTAACGATTTCATTGAATATTAATGAAAAAATGATCGGATGAAATTCTTCGTATATACTCTCAATTTCAATGATAACGTTCACCTTCCTGTTAATAGCTTAACATTCCTTCTTCATCGATTGTTAATATTCATTCTGACTAATTGTAAACAAACTAATTAATTATTATTGGTCTATTAACAATCAACACTATTCTATGACCAAACCAAATCTGTTAAATCGTTCTATGTCTATCTAAACAAACGGATTATAGTTGAAGAGTATTGAACTCGTTGTTACATTGACATATTAAATCACTAACAATTATTTCAACACTTCTCAGTCACTGTATACTACTGCATTCCTAGTTTTATGTTGTGAAAGATTATTGAGTCGAAATCCCTCGAAAATCTCGTACTTATAGGGTTCAAAGTTTTGCACGTATAATTTCAAAATGGCGCCAAATGTATAATTTAATTAGTATGGATTTTAATTTATAAATTAATTAAAAGACTTGACTTTTCCTTTATGAATGTGAACATCAGAAATAAGAAATAATTTCGAGTGACATTTTTATTACTGCGTCCTATTATCCCAATAAAAGACGTATTTAGCACGCATTCATTTTTATGATATATTAATAATCCATACAAAATATTCAGCTTCGTTTTGAAGCATCAAAATCAGCCCAATGAGTATCTTAGCTAACGTATTATCTTGCTCATCCACAACATGTTTTATGTATTACCTACATCGGGTGCCTCTTGCTCAAGAAGTACAAATTCATGATATTAATGAATTCACATTATGATTCACGAGTAAAATAAACTAAAAACTGATAACATAATTTACAATTCAGTAATACTACGAATTTGTATTTTACCGTGCAAGAGTGAATCCTAGTCAATAGGTAAATACAAAATACAGTAATGGTCATCAAAATTGCATCACTTTGAAGTATTAATTAAGCACTATAAACAATTGAATTAATATTAAAAAATAAGAGAATATTATCTAATAAATATTGGACAGTAAAACTTCGATATAGCTCAGAGGAAATATACTTTACCGCGACGTACCACTAAATCGTTCAAAACAAATTTACTTTCGTTAAATTAAATGGTATAAACTTCGAACAAGTTCAGACTACACGCGTATACAATGCTGCAATTTCACTGGCCACCATCCTACAACCTCGCAGAAAAAAAAACCGTTTATCCAATCCAATGAAAAGATTTTCGAGGGAACAATGTAACCGATTGAATTTGTAATGTGCATGTATTTGGTGGACTGTAAACTCAATTAACCCGTGAACCTGCGTCGATCGAGAATACATGTGTAATGAAAAAAAAACAACGTTGTACCCTTGTTATGTAGTGTATATGTGTGTATGCGTGTAACACGCGTGTCAAACCGTGTTTCTCGCGTTCATCGCGCGAGCGTTCACCGGTACGGTAACAGACACTTCGTTGCAAAAAAACAGTAATATATAGATGTATAGACGGACATATGTTATATGCATAGTATGTAAATATATACATATAAATAATGAAAGGAAAAAATAGTTAATATAGGCAAAAGAGACAGGATTGAGAAGATGTAATTTTTATAATACCTCTTTCCATGTTCCCGCTTGTATTCGCCGCTGTACTTGGACCTACTGCCTACGAGCTCTATTATCTCGGGTATGCTACTAGCAAAAATTGCCTGCAAATAGAAATCATAACTGGAAAACACTATGCGACTACGAACCGTTAAAAACAAACTGGGTCATCTATGGTACTGGTTGTAATTTAGAAGCCGGGCGTGCTTTTCCTCGGCTTGTGCAACACATATCCGCTGGATCCTCGGATATACGTCTTTCGCGGTTGAACGAAAATGGAGGCGGAGGGTTGGGAGGCAAGGAACGAGCAGCGATGTGCGGTTCAGGAGTAGTGTTGTAAAACGTTCGAGTCCTAGAAGCTTCAAAGTTCAGCTTGAAAAGCTGAGTCTTGATGGCATAGAATTCTATAAAGCTAGAGCCTCCGAAGCTTCAAGGCTAAACCTTAAAAGCTAAATCTTGGAAGCTTAAAAGCTAAAGCGTAGAAGCAGAGTCTTCGCAGCTTTAAGGTTAAACCTTAAAAGCTGGGATTTTGAAGCTTTAAGTTTCAATCTTAAAGGCTGAGTCTTCAAAGCTTCAAGTTGAGTCTTTTAAGTTTCGAAGGTCTAGAGTTCCATAAAGCTGGAGTCTTCGAAGCTTTAAAGCTAAACCGTGAAGGCTGAGTTTTGAAGGCTTAGAATCCTATAAAACTTGAGTCTTCGAATCTTTAAGGCTTAACTTTAATGGCTAAGTCTTCGAAGTTTCAGGGCTCAACTTTGAAGCTTTGGCAACTCGATCTGAGCCTTAAAAGCCTTCAACGCTCAAGTCTTTACGCTCGTAGAATCAAACCGTTTGATGCGTCTCGAGCTCTTAAGGTTTAAGTGACGGCTACAGCTTTCAAAGCTCGAGGCTCAGGACTCATTTTTACAACATTATTCAGGAGCAACGACCTATACGTTCCCACTATTTTCCTTGTTTATGTTTGCGTTTTCGTTTCCACTTTTTCCTTTGTTCTTTAGTTTTGCTTTTGTTCTTTCTTTTTTTCCCCTTAGTTTTTATTTTGTCGTTTCTCGTTTCTTGAATAGCGCTGATCACTCTAGCCGCGACTGTTGCGCCGGAAACATGAAAACAACATGGCCGCCGGCCAGGCGGTGGCCTATTCGTTCGAGAACGAAAGTTAAGTGGAACTTTCACCGCGATCTTTCGATTATTTTGTTACCCTGCACGAGGATATTTGTATGTATATACTTAAAATGACGTTTTACAGAATTTTTTAAACCTTCATTGTTATTCTATATACTGTAATGTATTAGATATTAATGAATCTAATTTATTGGTAACAATATATGTTCGTGTCTAAGTATTCGATTGAAAATTTTCAGCTAAATTTTGTTCACTTTTGCGATCAATTAACGTAGCTCGGCTGTTCGTGAAATGAAATGTTTGGAATTCGGATGATACTTACATTTTAAGTTAGTCAGTAAAGTGCAGTGGCAAGCGTGTTAAATAGATCTTTAAGCAGTTGTGACATCGAGTGAAGATTACGAAAGGGCGGAGATTAATTTATGCCACCTTTACATTTATTTTATGTTTTTTTCTCTGACAGAGTATTAAACTCACGTTTGAGAATTTTTAAATAAAATAAATAAGAAATGTATAGAAACATAGAACTAAAAATTAAGCCTGTCCAATTAGAAGAAGAATTTGTAATTCTGCACTGTAAACGACTTACTCTTTTCATTTTTATTAATCGTTTCGTCGAATTTCTTGTTAGCTTCATCAAATTCAAATGTTGGGCAGGTTAAAAAACAATTCGCGGCCAGTTATTAATGAATAGATATTTGATTCGTGTTAGGACCATCCTTGACTATAATGGTCACCATCTGCGGCTTTTTGATTTATTTTAAGAACCAAAGTTTCCCCCGTGTGAGTCACTAAACTATCAAGAGACGCATGACTAATATCCGCCAAAGATTATTACTATACATTATTATTATTATTTTTTCTTTATTATTATTGATAAAACTATATATTATTCCATACAAAATATACAATAATTTGAAAAGAATAAATCATTTGTAGTACTGAAAGACAAATTATGTTTACTTGAACAAACTTTTATTTTTACGCTGATGTTTATATAAAATAATATTTCTTACTTACTTTATGCCATCTTTACTCATCATTTGCGAGCTATATAATAAAACTTCGTTCTAATACCCCACGTATCACCCTAAAAGCAGGGTGTCTGGGAAAAGAACCAACGAGTTTGAACAAAAATGATTATAATTCTATTCGCATTTCCTACAAGGTTATAACAGAAATATAATATTGCGCGTGTATCGTTAAAACTTGTTTACATTGACACATGTTCTTTAATTCTCTTAATAGTTTTCACATCTAGCGAAATTTCAAGGCCATTCTGTTTCAACTAAAATTACACAATAATTTCAATGATTTATATTTTTATTTAAAATTACTGAAAATAGTCAGAAATTTACCCTGACACCTTTTTCTTCAAGATACTAGAAAGAATAACCATTAAAATTTTACGTATCAGCAATATGCCTATACAATGCATAAAATCTTCCGAATTTAAATAAAGGCAAGGAAGAACGAACCAAAGTGTATACAAAATCGATATTCCTCGCACACGCAAAAATGAACCAATAATGTGAAATAAGAACCAAGTCCCAGCAACGCGCGTATCGTGGTATTTTATTTCCGCCATAACCGAGCAGTAAATGACGTGTACCCGGAATTTTTTGCACTGAACAATCCCGACAAAAACACTGGAAAATCGTGTCGGTTTCCTCCCAGCACAACCTGCTGTGTACTCCTGTAGATGAAAATAGTTAATAAACGTAGTTAGTCGATGAGATGGTGCAGGAAACGTGATGAAATTGTCGAGGAGGCAATAATGAGAAGGCGAAGGTAAAGTTGCGTATGATACTAACGTGGCAGAGAAAACA